GCACCAGTTCAGTGATTTTGTTCAAAAAGACTTTCGTAGTGCGCCAGAGCCACTCTGCCAGCTGCTTCATTGCTTCTGTAAGACACTAATCCCATCTATGCTAAATCCGCTTCAGTGTAAAAGATTGGGAGTGGCTCCTGTTTCCTGCCAGTTTCCTGCAACTTGTCTCAAAGGCAATCATTTAGTTTTGTTTGTTTTAATTGGTCTTCTGTGCCCATTTCCAACACTTAACAATTACATAGAGGAAAAAAAAGTATTAGTTGAGCAGAATTCATTAATCCAGAGTGAAAAAGCCAAAGCTACAAATGTCCTTAAATAATTTCATTTGTAGTTATATATTTATTTGTTACTTTTAGGTGTAATTTCAGTATCTTTTTCCTCTTCTTAAAAGTATTTATTTTAAATGAAGCAAAGTGAAGAAATATAAGTAGGTCAATAAATTCTGCATAAACTATCCAATTTTTTTATTTATTACATTATTATAAAGAAGTGAAAGACAACTTTTGCATCCAAAGACTATTTGTTAATTAATAAGCTCATAGTTATAGTTCACGACCTGGCTTAAGAAACATTCATTGGTGGGACCAGGAGGTGGTGTGGTGGTTAAGGCACTGAATTCCCACATGCTAACCACAGTTCAAGTCCCAGACCCAGTGTACTGAAAATCACACTGGGCATGCGTGCTTGTGTGCCCCAAATACCAAGAGGATATAGAGGAGAAGAGATAGCAATGTGGCTATGCCCTCTCAGGGAGGGGGGGTGTGATTTCTCACTTTCCCTCTCTCTTTCTCTGTCTTTTTCTCTCTGGTGAGCACATGTGACCTATGACAAAAGCCTAAAGGCAATAAATAAATAAATTAAATTAAATTAAAATTCATGGGGCTAGATGTTGGCTCAGCAGTAAAACACAAGGCTGTGAAAGTCTGATCTACATGAAAGCTCCACAATTTACATTCCAGAGACCTTCTTCATACGTAAGTGTGGGCATGGGCTTGCAGTCTGGGCCAAGCTGAGGCTTAGATTGCGGCATCGAGACCCTGTTGGAGAGGCTGTATCCCTGCCCCTCTGTCTTTCTCTCTCTCTCTCTCTCACTCATGGAAAAAATAAATAAAATGTTAAAAATTCAAACAAAAATACGTAAGTTTAATGTGTAGTTTTTAAAAAGTAATTAATTCTAAACACAAAGAATAAAAGGAGACTAGATTTTGAGAACTCAGTCTTTTTCTTTGTTTATGTTTTCCTCACATACCAAAAGGATTGGCATATGATGCTTCATTGTTTTGTCTGCTCGGAATAAAACCTATAGATTTTTGTAAACTTTATTAGCGGACACAAAACAACTCATTAATCTAATTGGGATCTAGCCCATCTTTTTAAAAGGCTAACACATATGTATTACACGAGCTCAGAAAAAGAGAATATCAATGCTTATGAAATAGAAGCATGTGCAGATATGTCCATTTCATTTATAAGATTTTTAAACAAAATCTACTAATAAATATTTAAAAATTCTGACCAGAATTTTGCCTCATGTGTTTGGAATCCATTAAGGAGCTTGCAAATATCTACGGCTGTTCTCCAAGGTAGGGTAATAGTTTGAATGTTAATCAACCTGCTTTTCCCTGTTTTACATTTTTTTTCTTTAGTCTGCTTTTGTTTTTTTCTTTTCTACAGAGCATGAGTGCTAGCCGAGACTCAGAAGTGAAAGAGAGAGAGACAGTGATATGGAAGGACCCTGAATTCATGATTAACTCAGGGCTGATAGCTGCTTGAAATTTCTGCCCTCCAGCAAACCTATTGCCCCTCCCAGGAGCTACAGAATAACCAGCAACCTTGAATAGATCAGTACTTTGAATAGATTAGACTGCCTGCTTCTCTGACTCCTCCCTTTGACATTGCGTAGAGTGGGTTCTGAGCCCATTCCCCATCCTGAGATCTCCCCTTCCCAGTTCCTCCAATTGGGGCCCGAGATTCAGAGTGCTAACTCCTCCATGCCTGCTGACAATAAACAGTCCTCCTAACTTACTTGAGTGCTGCTTTCCATTCTTTGGCATCTGGTTTTTCTGCAAACAATAGAAGGAAAGTGAGAAATCACCCCTTTGGGAGAGATGGGCCCACCACAGTGCCTCTGCCCCAGTCTACTCTCAGGATTCAGAACACTCGTATACACCACATGCTCAGTGTGATTCTCAAGATTCCAGGTCCAGGACTTGAACTACATAGTCAGCCATGTGGGATTCAGATGTCTTAACCTTCATGCCAACCGGCTGGCCCAGTAAACCTGCTTTTATCCAGATGTTAAGAATTATAGATCAAATTTATACTAGTAAAATTAAGATATGTTGATTTTATAGCATTCTTTATCTTTCTTATGAAATAAGAGGTTGTTTGATAACACTGATTTTATTGGACAACTTGGAAATTTCAACACGTCTAATGGGACACTGGGATCTTATTTATATCCCATGTCTTTCTTAGTATATTAAAACTAGACTTCAGAGGTTTCTCATTCCTTTTTTAGAATATTAAAATTTTTCATTTAGATTATTCATGGAAATCCCAATAAATTGCCCAAAAGTCTTTCAGAGTGAGCATTAAACCAGTAACAGGAAATAAAGCCAAAGAGACTGAGAACTTACACCACTACTTAAAAGCCAAAGATTGAGATAGGCAGCACAGCTTAAGGCTGCTGATGGTATTACCACCAAGGTCAGATGCTATGAAAATAAACAGTGAATCAGAAAACCAAATTTTAAAAACAGAATACCTAAAAACAAGTGTGGATGACTTCAAGATAAATCACTTGTTGATTCTTATTTTTCTCTTGAATGTTCATTTAGTTGCTTTGTTGATAAAAAATTTAATGAAAAATTATTTATTGATGATGTCTCAGGAAATGTGAACCAAAGAATATAAGAAAGATAACAGTGAGACCAGCATATAATATAATGGTTACGTCATTGGACTCCCATGTAAGAAAAGAAAAGAAAAGAAAAGAAAAGAAAAGAAAAGAAAAGAAAAGAAAGAAAAGAAAAGAAAAGAAAGGAAGAAAGAAAAAAGTAAATCAAAAGAAAACACCTATACTGGAAGTGTCATAGATGGGAGGACTAAAATAGGTGCAGAATATACCAAATCATGAGGGAAATTCTGTCAAAATACTCGTGGTCTGCTAGGCTTATCTCAACTCCTGATATTACCTCTCTGGACAAGAATTGGTTATACATATTTAGCATAATTTCTGACAACCATTAATGCCTTATACCTTTCTTTCTTTTTTTTTCTTTGATAGATTTTTGCTATAGGGTGTGTGCTGCTGCCAGAGACACAGAGAGAGAGACAGAAAGAGAGAAAATGAGAAATCACTCTCCCCTGGAGGAATAGCCACACTGCAATCCCTCCATCCCTATGGAGGATTTTTGGCACACACACACACGTGTCTAGTCTTCCTTCAGGATTTTTGGCACACACACACACGTGTCTAGCGTGAATATCAAGTCATTGGTTCAGGACTCAAACCATGGTCAACCATGTAAGAGTCTAGCATTTATCCACTACACCATCTGCTGTTCCCAAAGACTTATTTCTTTCAAAAGCATTGGTGTGGCATTTTTTTAAAAAATGATAAAAAGTGAAAAAAAAATGCATTAGAGAAGAAAAGGAAGATTTCATTGGGTATTAAAATGAGGATCCATTACTTTTAGCTGAAAACATCCAGTGAGATTTTATGAGACAGTTAAGTTCCATCTGGATGATAAAGAATAGAAATGGTTTAGAAGTGCATAGCTAGAAGAGAAAGGTATTTCAGGTGGAAATTTTCACTCTTAACTTTGGTTGACATGAAAAATTAAGATAAGAACCATAATAAAAAACCCTTAGAACACAGCTCACCAATTTCTGAAGGCTCAGTGTTCATAGGCCAGCAAACAACTGCAAGCTGCAGTAGTTCAGTCCACTAACTCAGGGAGGCAGAATAAAATGTTTCAATCAAGGGTGACAGGACCGAGGACTGCAGAGGGTCTCAGCAGCTGACTCAAAGACCCAGTAGCCCAGCGAGAGGATTGAGTGATTTCAATATTTATTTCATCAGAAGAGAAAGATAATGTTTCAAACACCAATAAGACAAATGGAAAGAGTTTACAAGATAGTCATTCAAGGAGCTGAATATCTGTGCTCTATCCTTTCTAAAGTGAAACAGTAATTATTCCTTGTTCTTTTTTAGTTAACCTTGTCTGAAAAGATCACTTTTTTTCCTGCATATGATGGTTTAGTGTAAATTGAATTTCTTTCTCCCCAGTAAGATAATTAAAAATAATTTTTTGAGAGGTTTTTGCTATAGGGCACATGCTCATGCTAGAGAGAAAGAGAGAGACAGAAAGAGAGAAAGCACCCTCAAGGAAGGAAGGCCATGCCACAATCCCTTCACTTCCAGTCTCCTCTTGAGATTTTGGGCAATGCATTCACACATGCCCAGCTTGAGTTTCAGGTGCAGGACTCAAACTGCATCCGACTATGTGGGAGTCCAGCAATTATACCATCTGCTGGTCCCTGAAAATAAGGACTCTTTTTAACAAAACAGATGTAAGTAATGAAAGAGGGGATTCTCAGTATTACCCAAAGGGGAAAAAAAAGTAGGAAAAATATCACAAATACACTTCTATTTTTCAGCTTTTAGTCAGTGCAAGTACAATCAACATATCATTAAATTTATAGTATATTTGCAAATAGCATGTGTGGTACCCATTATATTTCCTTTTTAGAGAACCTATAATTTTCCAAATTTTATCAGTGCTATCAATACAACACTATTTAGACTTCTAAATAATTACTAACAACTCCAGGTATTAATCTTTACACAACTCCTTAGTGAAAGAATTAAGATTCCTGTTAATGAATCACGACTCCTTAGTGAAAGAATTAAGATTCCTGTTAATGAATCATAAACCAGCACTTTCCAGCCAGCAGTGACAACCTCCTCACAAGAGTATGCCTCTTGAAGAGGATCTCCTTCATCCCTCTCCAGAAGAGAAGAGGAAACACAAGAAGTGCCTGGTGCAGCACCCGAATTCCTATGTCATGGTGTGAAATGCCCGGGGTGCTATAAGATCACTGATCTTCCATCATGCACAAACAGTAGCTTTGTGTCTTGGCTGCCCCGCTGTCCTCTCAGCCCACAAGGAGGAAAAGCGAGCCTTACAGAATGATGTTCCTTCAGGAGGAAGCAGCACTAAAGGCACCCTGACTCAAGAGGAGTGAGAAACCATCCCAATGGATGCATTTTGGATGAAAACAAACAAAAACGTAAACAACTACATTCAGCAAGTACACCAAAATCTTAGAGAGGTAAGAAAAAGAATTCCTCAGATTTCACTTGATTTAAACACTCAGTCACTCAGAAGGTAGCAGTGGCAATATACCACTGTGTCTTTGGAGGAAGGGAAGAAGGGAGGCACCAACACCCCTAAGGCCTGGGGAGCAGTAGCAAGAGGCATATGAAGAAACACAGAAAAATCAGAGATCTCCACTTTAACACAATGAATCACAAAAGACAATGGTAAACACTTTTCTAAATTAGTAATAAAAGCACCTAGCTTCACACCTCCTATTTTGACCTTTGGAATACTCTCACCATAGCAACAGTATTAACTTTTAAAATCCAGTGTTATGTCATCTCGTTCCTTCAAACTAAGCTCATTATTAAGAGGATGTAATTATATAAATAATTATGTAATAAAGCAGGCCTTATTTCCATTGGCTTTACATGAAGTCAGAACACTTTACGTTTCTATTACATAAGGTAATTTGTCTTTAATTAAACCAAAAAAAAATTTTTTTTTTTAATATTGTTCTGCTTGGTAGTTTGCTTTGGTTGATTTTTTGGTAAATATTGTATATATAATACTAATTAAAATCTCTAATGCAATTTTAAGAGACTTTTTTGCCTTAGGGCACATGGGCTTGCCAGAGAGACAGAAACAGTGAGAGGGAAAGTGAGAAATCACCCCCTGGCAATGGCCATGCTGCAGTCCCTTCTCCTCCATTCTCCTCCTGGGACCTTGGGCACACAGGCACACATGCCTGGCATGAGTTTCAAGCCACCGGGTCCAGGACTCGAACTGTGCTCAGCCCTTTGGGAGTCCAACAACATAACCGTTACACCATCTGCTGGCCTCCTATAATCTTATTTTATGCACACCAAAGCAATTTTAAAATGGAATAAATTAAAACTTGTATTACGTTGGTATGTTAAATGTGCTATTTTCACATCTCCAGTCAGTGTTTCTAATAATTAAGCCTCTATGGCAACAATTAGAGCAGAAACAAAACTATTACTTGCTATTTACTTAGGGAACCACTAATAGATAATTCTAAAAAGTAATGCTTACTTACGTTTTTATAAGTATCCATTGGCTGACTCAGAACATATATTTTGCTAGTAGATAAATGTTTAACAGCATATATTTTCATCTACAATATTGATTTCCTGTTGGGGTATATATAACATGTAAATATACATTGATATTTTGCTGTTTGTCTCAGACAGTGTCTACTAAATTATGATTATTCATTGTTTTATGATTATTTATTATATATTTCATATACACTCTCAGTGATAAAAATATTTCAATTTTTATTGTGATAAATTATCTTCAATAAAGCCTTCATGTCTATATTCAAAGAGAGAGTCAAATACCATCCTAAAACAAAAGTTTCTGGCAACAATTAATTTGATTCTTCAGCATTTAACTGCATTTTTACAATATTTATCTATGAGTACAGCAAGTGTCGTGGTGGTCCCACTTGGTCAACTGAGGTTCAAGTCCCAGACCTGGCAGTTTCCTTTCTCACTTTCCCTCTTTCTTACTCTGTTTCTCTCTGATCAAATAAAAAATAATAATAATAATAATAAATAAAATAAATAATTCTTTAAATAAAAGAATATGTGTGTGTGTGTATATACATGTATATATATATATATATTTATGTATCCATCCATCTATCCATCCATCTCTGAAAGGCCTAAGAAGTGGGAAGTTCTAGTGCACATAGTCAAGGCAGTGGCAGGAAATGAAAGATATATTAAACAGCCCTCTAACTGTGCTCTACGCTAAAGTAGCACAGGAAATAACGCCTTACAATGAATTTTTTATTATTTAATGTTCAATTCTGAAGCAGAGATATATGTATACATGTAAGCCTGAAATAATATATTATGTAATATATATTTAATATTGAATAACAATATATTACATTACAAATATTATAAAGGTATTAAAAAGTCTGAAATGAGACAGCTCTTCTGTTTATATTTTCATCCAATTCTACTTTTGTTTTTAGCCAACAGCAAGTATTGATCTTATACTATTTAGAAATTAGCAAACTATTTAAAGAAACAAAGAAAAATGGTAGCTCAAGGCTGGTATTAACTTGTTTAAAGAGAGGAAATACTTTTATATATTTTTGATAATTAATAGCCATGAATCAACAGAGTATAATACCCACTCTCCGTGTTAGTGGTTTCACCTTCCACAGTTTCAGTTACCTACAGTCAACCATAGACCAATATTTTGAGGGAAAAAGAGTCTACATTCATATCATTTTTATTATAGCATATTGCTATAATTGCTCTATTCTATTTTTAGTTATTACTATTGATACCATGATGTTCCTAATTTATAAAATGAACTTCATCATGGGTATGTGTATGCAGGAAAATAACCTAGTATGTATATATAAAGGGTTTGTTTTATATACATATATAAAGGTATGGTTTCGGCACACACTGGGACTCTTGAAACATGACCTCATGGATGAGGGGGAATACCTTACATAATAAGTGAAAAGCAGAAGAAATATGATTATCTAGAGAAATGAAAAACTTGGTATCTCAAAGGAAAAGTATGATTAGACATGGAGGGAAATAAAATAGACCAATATCTCCCCCTAAAATTTATACGTTGAGATTCTAACCCCCAGCGAAGGTATTAGAAAGTGAGGCCTTAGGAAACTGATTATATCATGAGGGTAGAGACCATGTCCATAGGATTAGTTTCTTTATGAAAGAGACTTCAAAGTTCTCCTTTTTCCATGCCCCACCCATCATGTGAGAATATAACAAGAGAGAGGAAAAAAACCCTCACCAGACACTGAATGTGTCTGGTGCTTTGATCTCAGACTTCCCAGCATCCAGAATTGTAAGAAATAAATTTTCATCATTTGTCAACAACCTAATTTATAGTATCCTCTTTTCATAATCTATTAGTACTATGATGAAAGGAAAATAATTTTGAGTTTTACTACTTTCAAGCACTAAAAGTTCTCTAAAGGTTGATTCAGCCGAAGTTCAAATTCTCTTCTTATTCAAAAATCATACGTTGAGGTAAGAAGAGAGTAGATGAACATAACAGATGTGTGAGGGGTGAGGTTGCAATTAAAACACAATACTGGGTCGGCCCTGTACCTTAATGTTTAAGAAGCTGGATTCCACATGGCTAACCATGGTTTGAGTCTCAGCTTTGGCTGCCTAAAGAGCACATGTGTATGCATCAAATCCCAGTGAGATGGAGAAATGGAGAGGTGATTGCAGTGTGACCATGTTACATTAGCGGGTGCTTTTTCTCACTCTCTCTCTCTGGTGAGCACACACTCCATGGAACGATTAAAGAATAACAAAATAAAACATTGAATATTCTTTGTGAAGGAGACATTTGAATAAAAATCTGAAAGAAGAACTATTTACTGGTACCAACTAATAGTTGATGATCACTGACTATTTAATGTTATTAAATATGACTTTTATATTCACCGTCACAGTAAATAAAAGACTGTAAGTGGTTAAATATTATTACACTCATTTTTTCTGTGTTTATTGGTAAGCAAGGGAGGGAGGGTTGAAGAAAGAAGAGTACAAGGAGAAATTGAAAATCATAAAAGTAAAACATTTTAAGAACTACGACATCAATCTTTATACAATATTATACATTGATTCTTTAAATTGTTATTTTTCTGTTTTGTATATATTTGAGTAAGTCTACTACTCTTAGACAAATAATGCCCACTTATATTACTTACATGAAAATTTAAGAACACAATGCTTTGTTTCTTGAACTTTAATGAAAACTGTAAATTTCCTAGGAGATAAAGCAGAAGGCAGTACCTTTTTAAATATAGAAAGGAGAAAGATCAGGTCTCAATTTGCCATTTCAATTTCAATAATTAGCTCAAAATTAATATTCGTACTGTATTTCTTCTGTTATTGTTTGAAATTATTATATATCTAGGTACTTCATTTGAAAATGATGCTAATCATTTAAGAAATTCATATATAAAGATTTTTCAATCCAATGTTAAAATAAGAATTCACAAAAGACAATAAATGAAAGGCTTCTGCCTTCTACTTCCGTTCTGTTGTCTGCATACCCAGTGACACTGTGAAGGACAATCACCTTCATTATCCTTCCACAGATAGGAGGGGCACATGTATCTATCTCTGCACAAATACTCCTTGCTAAGAATTCTGTTGCATCTTTGATTATCAATAAAAGTACATGCCAATATGAAAAAGTTCGAAAAAGTATATGTCAATATAAAAGCAGCTACTTCATTTGGATGTCTTATAAAATAGTATATCAAATTACAGATTTGATATACACATCATAGTTTTAAAATCACATCCCCTATTTCATTTTGCAGAGAACCACTAGGAATACTAAGAAAATTTGGCTAACGTCTAATGGCAATTCCACTGAAAACTACCAGATGTCTAGAAGAACATAAAAGATACTTTTATGTCTCTCCTGGTGAGGGCACAGAATTCATGGCTAGGATTAAGCAAAACAAACCCACTCTTCCATCCTGATACCTGGAGGATCAATGGATTACTTCACACAGACGTTTGCTTAGCCAGCAACTGAGACAAAAAGAAAACTGTAACAAAGAGAGAGCAGAGACTGGAGCGGAAAGGGGCTCCGAGCAATGGCTACACGGCCAACTCCCTGTGCTGCTAAGTCATGCTGGGCTCTGTGAGCCACGCCGGAAAACGCTCCTCTCTCTTGCCTGTTTATCAGTTCTCAAATAACACCGAGCTGTGGGTGATGCTGCGGTTTTCATCCCTAGTCACCCAGGAGAAAGCTGCAGCTTTGATCTGTCTTGCACAGAGTACCCAAGCATTTTCTACTGGCCGGTTGACCTCTTCCCTCTCAGCGTGGCTTTCTGTTTCGTTCTCTACTCACAGACTCAGTATCACAAAAGAGAAAATAAGTCAAATTGAAAGTCTGGCCTGGTTATTTGTCTTCTTTCCAGACTTCTATTGTACTTCTAAGGGTTATTTTTCAGTATTGTGGCTAGTGCATGGCATGCCCCCAGCACTTGTGGAGGTAAACAGTCTATTTAAAGTACAAATAAATAAATAAATAAATAATAGTTCTGCTTCAGAAAACATTCCTTAAATGTCCAGTAATGTGGCTGGCAGGTGGTGTGTGGGTTAAAGGCGCTGGATTTTCACATGGCCAATCACGTTTTAAGTCCTGGACCTGGCAGCTTGCTTTCTCGCTTTCCCTTTCTCTCACTCTCTCTGTCTCTATCTGGTCAAATTAAAAAATGATAACAAATGGAATTAGATAAATAAATAAGTGATTATTCAAAAAATGGTCCAGTAATTTCAGGATAATTTTTTTTAATATGTATTTGTATGCATCTGTATCTGCTTTCGCTTTTTACCTTGTTTTCTACCTGTGTGAACAGTACTGTCATCATTCAAGGTAAGAGCCATTTGACCTCTAAAACTCTCACTTAAAGGAAAGATGAGGTTTTAATTTCAATGTGTAAGATGTTTTGTAGGATGGGCACTGCTGGCTGTGAGCTCAAAGACCCCAGGCTGAATGGCTCCAGAAACCAGAACAGAAATTCCATTATCTAAGACCTCACCAATCAAGGATGCCCAAGACGTGATAACTTCTTGAACCAATCCTTGAGCTAATCATGGGCTTGGGACCTCTCCCCTAATTTTGCCCTTAAAAAGGCATATGGGGAACGCCTGGGGGACACTAGGTCTTTTCAGCATGAGCTGCCACTCTCTTGCTTTGCACTTTGCAATTAAACTGTACTTTCCTTCAACAACAAACAAACAAAAAAGGTGGACAATTTTGGTAGCATTAGGAAAAAAAGCCATTGGAAAAAAAAAAAGCAAATGAAAACACACCTCTTCTTACTTTACATAATTGCTCAAACAGCATGATGGGTTTTGCAAGGGGTATACCAAACATTTTACAAATACTAAACTACAATTACTAAATAGTTACAAATTTGTGACTATTTACTAATAGCCTATGGAATTTGTGAAAACTGTTACTCTTTCTTTTAGTCTTATATTGATAAGAGTTATTATAGTGAACAACTTTTTTTGATTCTCCACGATTAAGGACTGTCCAAAAATGCTTAGGGCCATTTGATATGATTAGAGATGACATAAATAATTCTGTGTCTCTCAGATTCTAAAATTTTATTCATTGGAATGCCATATTTTGCTTGAACATATGAACCTATATTATGCTAAGTACTTACAAGGTTATTGTTTCCAGGAATGTTTTGAAGTCAACTGATCTTTTATTCATCAAATATGAGAAGCCAGACACTCAGTGATGCAATCCCACATGGGAAGGTTCCTAGGTCCAAATCCCAGACATCTCCTTGAGCAGACCAGGTACGTACATGACCATAATCTGGGACTGTCTAAAGGCGGGGGTTGGATTGCAGTGGTAAGATCTATTGGGAGTGCTGTCTCTCTCTCTGACTCTGTATCTCTTTCTCCCTCGCTTTCCCTCAGTCAGTTTTAAAAAATGATTCATGTATGCACACATGGTCCTTCTGAGTTGTTTCCAGCCTAGGAAGTAACATAAAATCTTGGAACGAATCTCTCCCCCATGATACAGCCCATTTATTCAGCCTCTTCCATGACCTCGTGTAAAGAAATTAAAGGTCTTCGATATTGTTCCAACCTCACGTGGATGGATCCTTGCCCTGAATAATCCTTTCCTCACATCATGGGATCCAAGACATACCTTAAATTGTATCTAGTGCATAGCTTCCTTCCTTAATCAAATCTTTTATATAGTTCTTGTCATGGGAAACTCTTCCTATGACTCATGCTTTAAAATTATTTTGAACATAATGCTTGTGTCAAACAGTTTAACAATTAATTATTATGTATTGTCAAGTTGCCCAAATTCCACATATTTTCTCAGAAATAATGTGTTTTGGGGCCAGCAGTTAGCGTAATGGCTATGTCACTGAACTCCCACGTAGTCGACTGCAGTTTGAGTCCCAGACCTGGTGGCTTAAATTCACGCCGGGCACGTGTGCGTGCGTGCCCAAGATCCCAGGAGGAGAATGGAGGAGAAGGGATTGCGGCATGACCATCCCCCCTGGGGGGTGATTTCTCGCTTCCTGTCTCTATGTCTCTCTCTGTCTTTCTGGCAAGCGCACACATCCTATAGCGAAAAACCTCTCCAAAAAAAAAAGAAAAAGAAAAAAAAAAGAAATAATGTGTTTTACTGGAATAGAGCAACCATGCCTTGTTTCCCATGTACAGCAAAGTTCATTTTACATTATGTACTTATCCCAAATCTAGGCAAATGGTAAGAACTAATAAAATGTCTGCTTGTTTGAAAAGTATAGAGTTAGTGAAGAAAGGCAGTACTGCTATTAAAAACTTCATGGTCAGGTCACTTATTAAATTTATTTCATTTTATTTTCATTTATTTTATACAATCAACCATTATACATCACTTAGTTTGTAAAGTGAATTTTCCAACATGAATACATTTCACACCAGTCCAGTTGGGGATACTACACATGTTATCATCAACAGAAATAATCCATTTCTGTGTCCCATAAATGTCTTGCCTCTCTATTTTTCTCCTTAAGATCTTTCCTGTCTTTCCTTCCCCCCCCCCCTTCCCAGTTTGTATCCAGTATCCATAACAATTTTCCATTTCTCTATATCCTCTAATCTTTCAGTTTCCACCAGAGTGCAGATAATGCATATACTGTCTCTCCTTCATAGCCTGACTTGTTTCACTCAGCAGTAAATATTCCATATTCATCCACTTTCTATCAAAAGCCAGGGTCTTGTTCTTTATGGTTGAGTAGTATTCCATAGAGTATATGTGCCACGGTTTTTTCAATCCATTCTTCTGTTCATGGAAATTTGGGCTAGTTCTATGTCTTACCAATTGTGAATAATGCTGCAATAAACATAGATGTGCAAGCACTTTTCTGACTAAGTGTTCTCCTGTCCTTTGGGTAGATACCTAGGAGTGGGATTGTTAGATCACGTGGTAGTTCTATTTGTAGATCTTTGAGGAATCTCCACATTGTTTTCCACAGTGGCTGGACCAATTTACGTTCCCACCAGGAATGTAGGAGAGTCCCCCTTTCACCACAGCCCCACCAGCATTTATTGTTTTTTGTTTGTTTGTTTGTTTGTTTGTTGTTGTTGTTTTCTTTAATCTTAGTCATTCTGACTGGGGTTAGGTGGTATTTCATTGTGGTTTTGACCTACATCTCCCTTACAATGAATGATGTTGGACATTTTTTTCATAGGCTTTTTGGCTGTTTGTATGTCTTTCTTAGAGAGTTGTTTCTTTAGCTCATTTTCCCATCTATTAGTTGGGTTAATCTTTTTTTTTTTTTTTTTCTGGTAAACCTCTTGAATTCCCTGTGTATTCTGCTTATCAGTCCCTTATCTGAAGCATAGTTTACAAAAATATTCTATTATAAGGGATGTTGATTCATACCAATTACTATGTCTTTTGCTGTGCAGAAATTTTTAATCTGATGTAATCCCATCTGTCTATTTTTGGGATTATTGACTGCACTTTAGGGGTCTTATTTAAGAAGTCGTTGCCTATCCTAATGTCTCCCAAGTTTCTCCATCTACCAGTAGGTTTAAAGTTTGAGGTCTTAGGTTTAGATCTTTGATCCACTTTGAGTTGATTTTTGTCAATGGTGAGAGGTAGGGGTTCAGAATCATCTTTCTGCAGGTGCATATCCAGTTTTTCCAGCACCATTTGCTTAAAGAGGTCTTCCTTTTTCCACTGGATTCACTGGTACCCTTTGTCAAAAATCATTTGGCTGTATGTTTTGGGGTTTATTTCTGGGGTCTCTATTCTGTTCCATTGGTCCACATATCTGTTTTTGTGCTAATACTATGTTGCTTTTGGTTATCACAGCTTTGTAATATATTTTGGGGTAAGGGAGTGAAATGCCTCCTACTCCACTCATTTTGCAAAGAATGGCTTTATCAATATGGGGTCTTTTATGATTCCAGACAAATTCTATGATTGTCTTCTGTGTAGTATGTCTCTGGTACCTTGATTGCAGTTGCATTAAACATGTAGATTAATTTGGATAGAATTGCCATTTTGATTATATTAATTCTTCTGATCCAGGAACATGGATGTCCTCCACTTTTTTGTGTCATTTTCAATTTCTTTTTTTGCTTTTTAATTTTTTTTGGGGGGGTGGAGAGGTTTTTGCTGTAGGGTGTGTGCGCTCACCAGAATGACAGAGAGAGACAGAGAGACAGAAAGTGAGAAATAATCCCCCCTCCCCCCAGGAGGATGGCTATGCTGCAATCTCTTCTCCTCCATTCTCTTCTCTGGATCTTGGGCATACACGCACATGCACCGCCCGGTGTGAGTTTAAGCCACCGGGTCCAGCACTCAAACTGCGGTTGACTACATGGGAGTCCAGCAACACAGCTATTACGCCAACTACTTATCCCAAAAAGCTTCTCACAGTTTTCCTTGTGGAGCTCTTTGACTTCTTTGGTTAGATGTATTCCTAAGTATCTTGTACATTTTGTGGTTATAGTAAATGGAATTACTTGCTTCGGTTCTATCTCAATTTGCTTGTTGTTAGTATATAGAAATGCTATAGATTTTTGTATGTTGATTTTGTATCCTGAAAGTTTTATTATTTATTATTTCCAGGAGTTTGTATGTGTGTGTGTGTGTATGTGTGTGTGTGAGTATGTGTGTGTGTGAGTATGTGTGTGTGTGAGTATGTGTGTGTGTGTGTGGATGCTATTGGGTCTTCTATGTATACAATCATGTTATCTGCAAATAGGAATAATTTCACCTGTTCTTTTCCTATTCAAATGACTTTTATTTTATTCTCTTTTCTGATTGCATTGGCTAAGGTTTCCAGCACCATATTGAAAAGGAGTGGAGAAACTGGGTATCCTGGTCTTGTACAGCTTTCCCCTATTCAGAATAATGTTAACTATGTTGTTTTTATTTTTCATAAATAGCTTGTATTGTTTTGAGAAATGACTCTTTTATGCAGATGCAGATTTTACTGAGAGTCTTAATCATGAAGGAATGTTGGATTTTATCATATGCTTTTTCTGTATCAATTGATAAGATCATATGGCTTTAAAATTCTAATTTTATCTTTCATAGAGTGCCTACTCAAGAACCCTGCCATTTATTAAAAATCTATTTCTCAGAATAATTGCAGATGAAGTTGTATATAAGTGACATTGTACTCAGTTGTTCTGGGAAATGCTTACTATTTTCAAATAATGCAATTCACATTTCTGGTGCATAACAGAATTTTTAAAAGCTAATGTCAAACATTGTTTATGAAATACTGCTTTGTTCTGAAGAAAAGTTGATGTTCAACTAGAAACAAACTTGTCCCACTTGGTCTCCATTAACAGCCCTTACCCAAATATTACTCAATTTCTAGAAAAGATTAAGCAGGTATCATACTCTACAGTAAATTAAATGTTTTAATGGAGCATTTCACAATCTGCTCATAAATTATTGTTTCATATTCCAAAGATAAAATAAATCTATTACTCAAAAAAATTGTTTTGAACAAAGACAGAAATTCTGGTTTTTGTTTGTTCTTGTGTGATTGCTTCTTGAAAAAAATCTGTGTATACACTCAGATATCTAATAAATTTGTGACAATTCAATTACTTAATTGGATCAAATTTTTTGATACGCTAGCATATTGATTGTGCAGGTCGCTTTAATATCCATTCTTATAGCAACCTCTAATTTTTTCTTATATTTACCTTTTTGTAATATTTATTGTTTTATGTATAAAATTGGTTAGATATATCTAAAATTAATTGACAGAGGGCGTGTGCACTCACCAGAGAGATACAGAGAGATAGAGTGTGTGAGAGAAAGAGAAAGCGCTTCCCATCCCCACAGTGAGGCATGGTATCGCTGCAATTCCTTTGCTTCCATTTCTCCATCCTGTCAGGATCTGGGGCATGCAGCACAGGTGTCTGGTGTATTGGTGTATTTTTCAGGCCTCTGAGGCCAGGATTCAAACCACAGTCGACCATGTGTAATCAGCTCCCTTAAGAACTAGGCTACTGGCCAGCCTAGTTTTCATATTACTATTTTGCCAGGGGGTGTAAGCACTCACTAGAGAGAGAAATGGAGAGATAAATAGAGGGAGGGAATAGAAATGCAACAATCCCATCTCCTCCATCTCTTCCTCCATTCAAGATTTTGGGCACTTACACACATATACCCTGCATGTCTTTCCAGACACCAGGTTCAGGACTTAAACCATGCAGCTGGCCATGTGAGACCCAGCACCTTAGTCAACACACCTCTGGCTGGCCCTATAATTAGTTTCAAAATGATTCTTTTTCACATTAAGGCCTACAACTCA